TATTCCTGTCTGTATTATGTTAAAAGAATACAATCATGTAATTAATTATCAGGCACACATCATCATAATAATATTATTATTCACAGCCACGTTTGCACTTCTGACTACTGCGTGCGATATACTGCTAGAAACTACTACCTTTGTTTGTACAATTTATTCAGTAGACAGTTTTCACAACAGAAAATAAGACGCACTAAAAAAACCGCCAGACAAGAACTTTAATGGGAAAGAATTTTGTTGAAAGAGATGCTATGATCACATTTTATTTTCACCACCCTTCATCAAACCTGATTACCTCCCTCACCTCCACCCCATCAATAAAAAAAAAATTCAGCCCCTGGTAGTTTAACTGAAAAGCTGCACCATTTTAAAAAACCCGCCTCACCATGAGAGGATCGTTGCAGGTATAAAGGAAAATCTGGAGAACAGCTTTATGTTGGCTAGCAACACGACGCTTCCGGGAATGAGCCAGATGAGGGTGTTGCATTGAAAGGCCTATTGTTTTCCATCATGGCAGCTTCTTGTCTCGGGGCTTTTGGCTCCTACAAACTTCAATACTCGCGTTACCTCAAAGATAGATTAGAGCGAGAAAGAACAGAGGCCCCGGCACAGAACGAAACAGTGTGGGTTACAAAGCGATACGCTCCTACGGGTGAGATATCCTTGTTTTATTTATTCATTGTGACATGTGAATGTATTTTAAAAGTTTTGGATTATCTTGTTTTCCTGACTTAGTCTAGATCTACAACGTGATGGTTGTCATCTTTAAAAATCTAAAGATTGGATTTATTATGCTGGCCTTTTCTTAGACTGCATTCTGGAGTGCTTTGAGCCTGATCAATTATAATTAGTGCCCTACATCATAATATATCTTACTTAGTATAGTTGCTTAAGCTGGAGTGCCTGCCTTTTTAAAAGTAATAATTGACAACTTTCCTTTGTTTTTAAGTTTAGAAATGTTTTCACAGTTAATGCCACTAATTATTACACAAGATCAACACAATGAAATGAATTAAAATTATTTTCTCTCTAAGCCAGAGCGTGCCTATTTTGCTGATAACAAATTTCTTTTTCCATTCGTTCTGTTGTGTTCTTGAATCATTGTTATTGACAACAATAGCATTTTTTGATGCTCAGTTTCATGACACTTTAGCATACAATAATGAAACAAAAGATTTTCTGTATCGTTATACAAGTGCCTGATAATAATTCCAGTTATCCCCCCTCCCCATCCAAAAAATAGATAAATGAATAAAGAAGGAAAAAGTCAACAATTTAACACTGTACGTTGAATATATAGGCCTACTATATGATAATATATCTAGGCCTACTCTTTTCAGAGAAGTGTGGCATCTTGTAAGTTAAGATTTAACTGGCATCCTTTTGAAAGTGTCCAAAATGGTCAAATGCATGAATGTCGGAATATTCATGTACCTAATATATATAATTTATTGTTGTCTGTTCCCATCTCTACAGATGAACGAGTGATTGCTCCTGTTCCAAGGCACAAACATGTGGTACCCACCCGGGCCAGCTATCTGCGTACAGGAGATATTCACTGGATCCCCGTCTCTGATCCTCCTCTCTCAAGTTTCAATAGACCGTCTGGACCTCCAATGAATGTTGTTTATGTATCTCATCCAGGTATGCCACTAAATCTTTTTCTGTTGCCAAAACAACTTGTTTTGGTATGTTCATTCTCATAATTGTATTTGTATACTGTCGAACTTGCTCTAATGGCAACCTGCATTTAAAGACAAGTCACCTGTACTAGTGGTTGCTTCCCTCTCAATAGCATACAGTCAAACCTCAATGTACCACCCCCCGTTGTACAGCCAGACCCGCTTAAAATTTTCACCAGTGCCAAAGTATGAGACTGGCCACAGTTTGCCTCCAGTCTATCACTGGTCAAGATGGCAATCGTAGCTATCCCGTTATACTGTCAGCCCCGCTTTACTATCAACTTTATTTTCGTCCCAAGCTAGGCGGTATAACGAGGTTTGATAATGGACAGAATGCGAAAACTACACTGTAAGAGGCCAACTTCTAGATAACATTCATGCCGTTAACGAGAACAGCATAAGTATAGTAAGAACGTCAGAGGAACTCAATGAATGATTCGAGATAATATCCGGAGTAAGACAAGGTTGTGTCTTATCACCACTACTATTTATCATATGGATAGAATTACAAAAGAGGCCTACACAGAACCAGACACCATAAACGAATTACTCTTCACTGACGACTAAAGCCTGGCACACAAAGATTAACAAAGTTTCCTACACCACACCACAAGATTAAACGAAGAATGTAACAATTATGACCTGAAGATCAACATCAACAAAACTGAGACAATGAAAGTAAGAAGAAATCCAGGACCTCTCAGGATACACATCAACAGCAAGTTTTTCTTTTTTTTTGTCATTTCCTTGATAGAATTTAATTTTATCTGACAAATAACCAGTTCCCAAGTCAAGGCTCAGTTTTGACTGCTCTCATTTTCTTTTATTTTCTCAAAATTAAAAAGAATCATTCAAGCGCTCTTGGAATGATGTTGACAATATAATATTTGTGATATTATGTAGTGTACTGTCTCTGTTTCTGTTTGGTTCATTATCTTTTGTTATCTTTGAACTAATCTCTAGTCTTTGAACTGGACCTTAGAATTGATCTAATTGTGTTAAGTTGAATATTCAAGCACAAACAGAATCAATTCATATGCTTTTGCTTCTTCCTCAAGCCACAAGATCTGAAGAATGGTCTACCCTGAGACAGATGCTGCCTTCATATGGCAATGTGTGGAGAGTGGACCAGCCCAACTGGGGCACCGCCTCAGGACCTCCCCCAACACCTCTCCCACGGTTAACTGGTCGCCTACCTCACGTCAACAGCTGCATGACAAAGTAAGTTTTCTTCTTTCAGATGTGGGCGAAGGTGTGTCTGTATGTGTGTTTTTGTCCGTGTGTGCATGCGTGGGTGTGTGTGTGCATGCATGTGTGTGTGTGTGTGTGTGTGTGTGTGTCTGTGTATGTGTGTATGTGTGTGTGTGTAAGGGTGTGTGTGTGTGTGAGTGTGTGTGTGTGTATTTGGGTTGGTGATGTTGGCAGATGTTTGATGTTACTTATGGTTCTAATTTGTGGCCTAAAATGGCTTAAATCCTCAAGGTTGTATTGAGACATGTTTTATCTACTGTATTTAACTTTAACTCTTTCAGCTCTGATCTCTTGGTGATGTATTTTTGTTACTGTTCTGATAACAACTGTCCTGTTGTTATAGCTGTACCTGTAACCCTTACCACTATGATGAGCATGCTTTTTAGTGCCAAAAGCAGAGATTTCCTTGTAAAGGTAAAGTTGTGGCATGACTACTCTTACAATTTTGACATTTATTCACCAATTAATAGTTACCATAGCTTTATTGTTTGTATACATGCATGGGGAATATACATCTGCAGTGAAGAATAGTGTCGTATTGTAATGTAATAGTGAACTCTGATTACTCTATAGCCTATATTCTTATTTATTTACTTAGCACATGAAGCACATATTTCATTAACTGTAAAGTATCCACTTATCTGTCTGTACTGAATACATCAGGAATTTCTTGAATAAAGGAATCTCAATCATCAGTTGGTGTCTGTCCGTACACTAGTCGCTTATGGAGGTATACCCTGTAAATTAAAAATATACAATAGGACCTGCTGTTGCGGTGACCTGCATAAGACAATCACCTGTACAAATGGCCAGACAGCCATCTGTCTAGTATAGCCTCTTTTTTCCTCGACATTGGGTGGCTGTCTTCAACAGTTTTTACTAGTATTAAATATTTACCATTGTAAATACTTTTATACATAGTTATAAGCAGTAAGTGCTAAATATGTTATTAAGTATGTGCCTTAAGAAATGCTCTTTTATCAAGTTATACATGGTAAGTGAAAATTGATTAAATATTTTGAACTACAGTAAACAATTTTTCTATGGGGTGAAAGAAGTTTTGATTTTTTTCTTTCTATCCATCAGGTACGTTGATGACATGCACAAGACACACAGACAGTTCAAGCATTGCTGAGAGGTGGCAGTTGTTGTCCTTTGTGACCCTGTCTTTGCAGTGACTCAAGTGCGGTCAGAATGATCAGTTGCTTCTGTAGCTTGGCCTTAAGTCATTTTCACGTACACAGCATTTGTATTTGCCTTTTGACACCTTTATACATTTTTAACGTCACTTGTGCCTCCATTACTTTTTAAAGAATTGCTGCTGGGAGGAAAAATGTCAGTAAAAATCCTTTCAAACACTGAAAGTTGTCAGGGTTTCTACTAAATGATGAGAAATTATAGCCGACATTTGTCTCAGATCAAGCATGTACAGATGGCCAGTTAGCTCTATCATAAATTGTGACAAAACGAAAACACCCATTTTGAGGAATTCCATCTCCTCACTTCCTGTCCATCTCAAAGATCATAAGAACATCTACCAATGAAAGGATGCCTGTGGTCAATAGTTGTTTTGTTTTTTTCCTCTTTTGTTTTAAGCTATGAATAAGACACTGATTTCCTTGTGACCGTAAGGAAAATGGACTTTAAAAAATCAACCCTGTTGTTGTTTATTAGCATTATAATGTAGAATGAGATTATTTTGCACTGTTGATTGTGTTGACTCTACACTTGGTATCTATTCACTTTGGATGCCGTTGTTATGAACAGTATCGGAAACCTTTTAAATACGGTAACTTAAATGTTCATTGTCAGTATTAATTTGATGCTGTTGCTTGCCTTTTGTCATTTATCAAAATTTGGAAGTTACTCACCGAAAGGAGATTGAAAAATTGTGAATTTCTGTGTAATTCAGTGCCTCACTCAGAGCTTTTCCAGATAAACGGTATTGATTAGATTGATGTCCATTCGAGCAACAGGACATTTCCAAACTTTGTACATATTTGACAAGCCTTGTAGTTGTCAGCATTCCAATACTATATTGCTAACAGAGTATTTGACATCTTTTTGTAATTGTCTCAGAACCCCTTTAGGGTCGTCTTTCATATATATATATATTGCTCTGTATACACTAAACAGTATTACGTGCATGGACAAGTTGAATCTTTAGATGGAAGAGTAGTCTTTTCTATGTCACATCAGATGACTTTTTTTCTACAATTTTAGTACGTCTTCAAACATGTTAATAAAACTTGGAATAGAATGTGATTATGATATTGTTCCTGCATTTTTCCCATTCATCATCACATTTCTTCACTTTTATTGCAAAATGTAAAGTAAAAGTAAAGTTGTTCCCGCATCCAATCCGGACATTGGGGATTGGCTTGTTAGTGAGACAACTTCCTGGGCCTTCGTCATATTGTGGTAGGGTGGCCAGTTCCTTTCCACGCCGCCTTTACTTCCCCAACTCAAAGTCATGTACCCATTACTGCTGGGTGGGCAGGAGGGGGCGAAAGAAATCCATGGCCGAATCAAGGCTCGAACGCGGACTTTCCGCTTCGGAGACAAGCGCACAACCGCTCCGCCACCGCACCCTCTTTGCAAAAAGTACTAAGGCTTATTAGGATTGGGACTTTCCTTTCATGAACGGTAAGAAGATGACTTTTCTCTGTCCAGTTTATTATAACTCCACTGTTCAGCTTGAATTCAAAAAGGAAATTCAACATGTTGGAGAGAGCATAAATGCTTTAAGGCCCTTCTGAACTTTTATTTATAGTATTAACTTTGTTGACTCTTTTGGGTCGTAGCGGACGCATTTGTCTGACCAGCAACAAACCAAAGGCAATGTGGCGGCACATTGGGAACTGTAATGCACAAATCATTTACACACATTTACATCAAACTCTACGCATGTTCTAATTTGCCATTCTAAATTTCAGATAAAGAAAGCTGAATTGAAATATTATATGTAGAAATAACAATTATGCTTCATTTAAAGAAATACACTGAAACAATGCGTCTTCAAAGAGTTAAGAAATAACATATGTGAGGCATCATGGCAAAATCAGGCGCTCATTGAAATAATGAAATTGAAAAAAAAACTGCATTTTCCCACTGGATGGGCAATTTTGATTCAATATTTTTTCAGGATCAATACCTTATAATATGTCCATTTGAAAACAAATATTCTTTTGAATTTTACTGAAAATCGTTGATCAAGGACACAGACAAATGTAAATTTGCAGTTTACAAGGACACTCAAGCTTTGGAAGTCACCAACATTTGACAACCATTTTCTCGCCGATTTTACTTCTGAGGACATCGGGCAACCCCCACCTCATTCAGTTACAAAAATCTCAACTTCTATTCAAGAGAGACGAGTATTTTTTTCATCAAAATCAAGACAAGTTAACAGACTTTAAGATTATACCAACAACTCCATATCCCCAAAAATTGAGGAGCGCCAGATTCCACCACGTCGTGACACATCATAATATTTTTTTTCCTGAAAGTTTACCCTGCACCAAATCAATTGCTTCTGCACTTGGACTTTTCAGGTTTGTCAGATTTGGGTAGGGATTTACTTAGAATTTTTTCAAGGAGGCTGGCTCAGATCTGTTCTTCTTTTAATCTTAGTAGAGGTTTTACGGCGCTCACAACTGCATACGGTCATATGAGCGCCAAAAGATTAGAGGTGTTACAAGAGAGTAACAAACATAAAAAAGAAGAAGGGTACATAACGACGATAGATGTTTGATAGGAAAGAAGAAACAGACCACACCAGAGCACCCGCCAACCACCCGCATATTCTTCTTTAACTTTCAACTATACCTTTATAATTATATTATAGGGCTACAGATGCCTCCGACCGGTACCTCCAAGGGGGCTGACAAACCCAAATATTGAGCCCAAATAACTTGTTAAAGTTTTATGTTATTAGAAGAGAAGAAATAAGTTAAATCACCTCGTACACAGAATAGATTTTATTTTCAAGAAATCACAGTGAACAAAGATACACAGTTACGTAGAACACGCTCTTTATGTACATTATTTAACATTGGTTGTGCTGAGTATTCAAACATATCTTGGTTTGTTATGGACAAATCGTAAATGGTCCTCCAAACCCTATGGAGTTACTTAGGAGCTGGGTGTCTCCGCTGTAATAACAGTCTACAAACAACTGGATGACGCGGGTCAAGAGATGGGAAAACTTATGAAAAACATCACAGGTTCCTACATACATGTAATCAAAAGGTGATTCAAACCAGTTCTGGAAACTGCTGTCCAGTGTGACAGTTATATAAACAGTGCTTCGAATGTACATTGTTAATTATTGGACAGCTTTTCTGCAGAGTAGTCGATTTACTGAACTCTTGAAAATACAAAGTGTTATATAGAATGACATTGTATTTGTATAGTCTGGGTCTTTGCACCTCCCTGGTACCAGCACCTGTGGTGAAGTAGTAGCTGCTTTACCGTCGCGCACAAAAGACATGAGTTTGATTCCCTTTTGGGGAGAATTTTATCGAGTATAATATATCTCTGCTAGGACATTGCTTTTCTCTTAGCCCAGGCTGACCCTGACAAGCAAAGTCAAAACAGCCTTCCTCCTAAATGATCTATATCGTGTCAATGGAAGCGTAAAACATCTTACGATTACAATGACAATTTTTACCTCTTTTGACAGGGTGAAGGTAGTAATTTAACTTGAGAGGGACAATGCCTTCATTTTAACATGCAAATAATGATATCTGATAAGCTTGAAGCACAATGAGTGGAGAGGTATATTTTTTTAATTACTGAAGAATGTCTCCTCTAGAGATTCAACACTGAATCGGTCATACCATGGCACAGTGTAATGCTTATACATAATAATAAGTGCTTTTCTGTACATATATATATAACACTGTATGTGTGTGTGTGTGTGTGTGTGTGT